GGGAAGGGAGGGAGGGAGGGGATGGTAGGGGGAAAAAATGGAGGGGCTAACAATGTTCAAGAGGAAGTGTACTCATTACCTCACTCATGTAACTGTAACCCTCTGTATAGTATCTTTACAATAAAAAAAAATAAAAAAATAAATGCTTGTCTCTCCTGAGCATCCACCTGGCCCCTCTGAACTTACAGGACACAGGTAGGAAACTTAGAGGGCAACAAAACCATGAGAGGCATAAACATGGGAGGCACTCCTCTGAATAGGTTGAGATGGCACTCTTCATGCCCAAGCAGAAGCAACTCATGGAACACACTGCCTGCCATTGTATATTCGACTTAGTATTTATAGCTCTTCCAACCTTCACAACCCCAGAGGATTGGAAGCATGCTTCTGTGACAGGGCTAACAGATAAAACCAGGACTAAGGACAAGGCAGCTTGGCTTCTGACCATCCTAAGAAGGAGCTCTTGCTGACCAACAGGTCATCCCAAGTACTCCAGAAGAAAAGTCTGAAGATTATTAAAAAAAAAAAAAAAGTACACCCTTGCCAGATGTGGTAGCTCAAGCCTATAATCTGAGCTACTTGGGAGGCAGAGATCAGGGTAGCACAGTTCAAGACCAGCCAGGCATAAAATTTTGTGGGACTGACGAGCACTAGTGACTCATGCCTATAATTCCAGCCACTCAGGAGGCTGAGATCTGAGGACTGCGGTTTGAAGCCAGCCCAGGCAGGAAGTTCTGTGAAACTCTTTATCTCACGGTGAGTGGTTAACTAGAAGTGGAGAGCTTTGACTCAAAGTGGTAGATCTCTAGCCTTGAGGGAGAAAACAAAACCTCAGGCCCTCAGTTCAAGCCTCATGATGACTGGGCACAGTGGCACAGGAAACACAAATACAACAACTGTAGCCCAGACTGGCCTGAGCATAAAGCAAGACCCAACCTAGAAAATAATAAAGGCGCCGGGCGCTGGTGGCTCACGCCTGTAATCCTAGCTACTCAGGAGGCTGAGATCTGAGGATCGCGGTTCAAAGCCAGCCCAGGCAGGAGAGACCATGAGACTCCTATCTCCAATAAACCACTGGAAACCCGGAGGTGGCGCTGTAGCTCAAGTGGTAGAGCGCTCGCCTTGAGCTGAAATGCTGAGGGACAGCGCCCAAGCCCAGAGTTCAAGCCCTACTACCAACCAAAAAAAAAGAAAATAATAAAGGCAAAAAGGGGCTGGAGGGGCTGGGAAGGTGGCTCAGTGGTAGAGTGCTTGCCTTGCATGCTCGAGGCCCTGGGTTCTATTCCTCAGAACCACATAAGAAAAAAGAAAAAAGCCGTAAGTGGTACTGTGGCTCAAGTGATAGAGTGCTAGCCTTGAGCTGAAGAGCTGAGGGACAGTGCCCAGGCCCAGAGTTTAGGTCCCATGACTGCCCCCCCCGAAAAAAGGGGGCTGGAGGGGTGGCTCAAATGGTAGAGCACCTGCCTAGCAAGCATGATGTCCTGAGTTCAGGCCATCAGTGTATGTACACAGACACACAGACACACACACACACACAACTAGTGGACCCTACGTAGAGAGGACAGGTGTTGGGATGGCCTAGTCTCCAAGCACTTGCTGTAGCCCCTCTACTTGCTCTTCAGGGACCCAGAGGTTAGGGGAGCTCTCTCATTATCCTTCTCTCCCTTCCCTTTCCCCTCCCCTCCGGAGGACAATGAAACAATGCTTCCCATCACTCCTCCACTGAGTTGGGCAGCACAGGCTCACCTCTAGGCGGTGCCGGAACTCCACAGGGACAGGCTGCCCAGCTTCCATGCTCTCTGTGAACCAGGTGATGTCCAGCAGAGCAGGGTGGGGGCCATCTGGACAAGTAGTAGCTACATGCTCCTGCCAGCAGATGGCCTCCTCTGCCGAGGTCTGCTCCATCACCACGTGTGTCACCTCAGAGCTGGGGGGAGGGAAAGAAGGGTGAAACCCAGGCCCCATCCTGTTCTGCTCCATACATCCAAACCTTTGTTCCTGCTATGCCCCTCTGCATGGTGATATTTTCCAAATGTCACCTCTTCCAGAGAGTCTTCCAGGCATCTCCCCCTGATGCAAGGAACAAGTCTCACAATTGTAGTTCTGGGTTCCAGATATTCACAAGTCACCTGTTAAACTTGTTTCCCTTTCCACTCCACAGAACAGAATTCCTTACAGGTGGGGGGAAAGGTGGTGCTCATCTTGGTGCAGGGGTTTAAGCACTGATGCCCAAGCCTTCCTGCATTATCCTGAACCCATTCCTGCACATGCTTGGGCAAACCCAGTCTATATTTCCTCCTACATAAAGTTAGGTAACCCAGCTATCTTTGTAGAGCTGTTATAAAAATGCAGTGCTGCCAGGTGCTGGTGGCTCACACCTGTAATCCTAGCTACTCAGAAAGCTGAGATCTGAGGATCGTGGTTCAAAGCCAGCCTGGACAATAAGATCTGAGAGAGTCATTCCCTATTAACTATCAGAAAACCGGAAGTGGTGCTGTGGCTCAAGTGGTAAAGCACTAGTCTTGAGCTGAATAGCTGAGGGACAGTGCCCAGGCCCAGAGTTCAAGCCCCATCACCAACACACACACACACACACACACACACACACACAAAGCTAGGCCAGGTATTCAGAAGACTGAGATCTGAGGATCGTGATTTGAAGCCTACTCAGGCAGGCAAGTCCGTGAGATTCTTAAGAGTATATCCAATTAATCACCCCCAAAAGCCAGAAGTACAGCTATAGCTCAAGTGCAGAGTCTTAGTAACCCTAAGTGGAGAAGCTCAGGAGCAGCACGGGGCTGAGTTCAAGCCCCAGGACCAACACCAAAAAAAAAAAAAAAAAAAAGGTAAATGAGCTAACGTAAGTCCTCTTGCTCTCCCGATCTCAGCTTCTGTCTTCCCGGGTATTATCTTTCTGGGGTTCTGTCCCTCCAGGAAAGATGATAACTTGTGCCCACTGTTGCGGGACTCCGGAGGATCAGGTGGCAACAAGCTACTCCTCCCTCGCTGCCCCGGCCCTGCTCGCCTCTTTGAAATGCCCCTGGCGCCATTCTCGGCAAAGCCACAGCCGTTCCGGCGTTTCCTAACACCCCACGTTGCGGAAGTGCGGCTCCGGGCTGGCGAAGTCACGTGACGGCGAAGGCGCCAGGAGCAACTGCGAACCCCGAACCTCTGGGCGCTGCCGCTGTCCCGCCTGGGTCTCCGCGTCTCCGAGATCAAGGGGTCCCACACGGGGTCAGCCCAGCCCCCCGCGAAGCAGGCGTCCCTGCGCGGGCCACACACCTGAAGGCGTCGAGGACGCGGAAGCCTTTGGACCGGGCCAGGCGCGTGAGGAAGGCCCGGCGGCTGCGGCCCATCCTGCGCTCGGCCAGGTAGACAGCGACGCCGGGGAAGCGGCCCGAGGGCGGCGCGGGGGCGGGGGCCGCTAGGGCTCGCGCGCGCCGGCGGTGCGGGAGCATCCGGGCGCAGCCTGGCGGGGCCGGGAGACGGAGGGCGGGAAGAAAATGCCGGGAAGGAGGAAGGAGAGCGGAGAAGTCAAGCGGCCTACGCCAGCAAGAAGAGGAAGTGGAGCCGGCTGGCCGTCCGCACCGCCCTAGGCAAATGAGCTCCTCCGTGCGATTCGCGCTCTAACGCCCGGCCCGCCGTCAAGCAAAGGAACCGAACCCACGCTCGGGACAAACTTGGCCCGGCTTCGCTGACCGGGGGTGTGTGTGGCTTCCTGCATCCGGGATCTCGGCCTCCCCTGTGAGGGGCGGACCGGGGGAGGGGGCGGGCCTTATTTGCATCTGGGAAGAGCTTGGCCTTAGTTGGGCGGGGCGGGGCGGGGCGGGGTGGGCGAGGGGGGACAAGGCGGGTCTTGGCCGCTTTGATCTGGCCCAAAGGTCCCCAACAGCAGCCTGCTTCGTCCCACCCAGTGGCTCCTGGTCCTGAGTCCTTGGACCTGCTTAGGGACCTGCGGGTCCAGGAGCTCCGCGTGGCCCCGTGTTGCTGCTGCTGCTGCTGCTGCTGCTGCTGCTTCAAACACACGAAAGTATTTTTTTTAGCTACATGGCATTGGGACAAACTGGCCAACCATTGGAAAAATAGAAATTGGCTCCAACCGCTACTGCTTAACACTAAATAAATTCCAGATGAATCACAGATTTTAGAAAGAACCCGAAACACACGGTGTAGAAAGTTGATGAGAATTTTTTAATGTCCTAAATACCACAATAAGTTTGGAAATACTAGATGGAAAGAATGATTAACTGGACCACGTACAAATGTAAAAATGTGACCGAGAGTGGTGGTACACACCTGTAATCTCTGCACTGGGAGGAGGCAGAGGGATCTCCATTTAGAGTCTAGGTTTTCAATATAGCCTATAATATACTGTACAATATACCCTATCTAAGAAAAGTGTTGGGGCTGGGAAAGAGTGCTTGCCTAGCGTGCATGAAGCCCTGGCTTCAATTCCTCAGTACCAACCACATAAACAGAAAAAGCTGGAAATGATGTTGTGGCTCCAGTGGTACAGTGCTAGCCTTAAGCAAAAAGAAGCTCAGGGACAATGCCCAGACCCTGAGTTCAAGCCCCAGGACTAGCAAAAAAAAAAAAAAGTGTTAAAAAATTTGGCTGGGCCACAAAAAAATAAAATACCTAGGAGTTTACTAAAAAAGTGAAGGACCTCTACGATGAAAACTTTAAAAACCTGAAAAAGGAAATCAAAGCAGAACTTAGGAAGTGGAAAAACCTCCCATGCTCCTGGATTGGAAGGATCAGCATTGTGAAAATGGCAATACTTCCCAAGGCTATCTACAAATTCAATGCGATACCTATCAATAGTCCAACCTCATTCTGCAAGAAAATAGAAGGAGTAATCCAAAAATTCGTATGGAACAATAAAAGACACAAATAGCAAAACAATCCTTAACAGAAAGAACAATGCTGGAGGAATATCAATACCAAATTTCAAACTCTACTACAAAGGCATAGTGATCAAAACAGCTTGGTACTGGCACAGGAACAGACCTGAGGATCAATGGAATAGAACTGAAAACCCAGAAATGAACCCACAGACCTATCCCCACCTAATCTTCAATAAGGGAGCTAAAAAAAAATAGAATGGAAGAAAGACAGCCTCTTCAGTAAATGATGCTGGAAAAACTGGTTAATCTCCTATAGAAAACTAAAGCTAGATCCTTATATATCACCCTGCAACAGAATAAACTCCAAATGGATCAAAGACCTCAGAGTCAAAGCAGACACCCTGAAAACATTACAGGAAGGAATAGGAGAAACTCTAGGTCTCCTTGGAACAGTCTGAAATTTTCTTAATAGAGACCCAGAACAACAACAAATCAAAGAAAGGTTGGATAAATGGGATTGCATTAAACTGCAGAGCTTCTGCATGGCAAAGGACATAGCTAGCAAGATGAATAGAAAGCCCATGGATTGATTGGTAGAGCTTCACTAGCCATACAAAGGACAAGGGTCTCATATCGAAAATAATCCTGGCATTCAAAAAATTAAATCCCCAAATAACAAATCCTCAAAGAAACAACTGCCTGATAAATAAGTGGGCTAAAGAATTAAAGAGAGGGCTGGGAAGGTGGCTCAGTGGTAGAGCACTTGCCTTGCATGCTCGAGGCCCTGGGTTCGATTCCTCAGCACCACAT